AATCTTCTTCCAGGCTGTGGAGAAAAAGAGAGAAGGCAAGAACAGAAATGAAATTTCAAGCTCATCTGAAAACTTTAAAAAGTGATAAAGCCAGGCAGAAAACTGCACTTGAACAACAATGTTTAAAAATGCTAACAAAAAAAATGCTAAATAAAAAGAAAGAAAAAACAGTGATAGAGCCTATATTACATGAAACTAAAAAGAGAACCTATCCCAGAAAATTACAGCACTTTGGCAATGTTCCCTGATTCAGATGATGATTAAAAATAATATCTGAACTATACTGAAGATTTCCTATGTACCAGGAACTGTGCTAAGATTATTTCATTTACCTTGAGAAGAACCACATGAGATAGTGTTGTTATTCTGCTTTACAAATAAGGAAACTGACCCATCTCCAGAGCAAAATTTAATGAGAACAAATGTGGTTTATTTGGAAGCAGACACCTTCTAGAACTTATTAACTTTTAAAATTTTACTGCATTTTCACTTAATGTATGTATGCCAAAGTTTGCATGTTGTTTAAGATGTTAAGTAAAAGTCTCAAAATCTGAGAATAATATAATAGGTATCAAGCCTTCTTACATTTCAAATAGACTTGCCAATATTCCTATGCACTAAATGCTAAGAGACTGATGAAAGAATTCTACACAGAAGACAAAGAATTAAAGGGAGATTGATGAGGCTGATGGTGAGAATATCTTTGCAGAGTTGTGAAGGGGCTCTGACATTTCCCCTCTTCATGGAGAAGGGAGGATGTCTTAGTTATGTATTGCAGGATAACATATTACCTCACCACCAGGACACTTCAAACAGTACATTTATTATTTCACATGTGTCCTGTAGATCAGGAATTTGGGAGCAGTTTAGCAGAATGGTCCTGGTTCAGAGTTTCTCATAAACTCAGGATGTCAATTAATCAAGGTCACATGCACACACTCTTGCTGTAAGAAGGTTAAAAAAAGAAGTGGGTAACTGTCTTTCTCACTTTCTGTAAGCAGTGCTTGCCACCACCAAGGCACACAGTGGGGAATTCCTCAGACACAGAAAAAGAACCCAAATGATGGCCAGCACAAAATAAAACCACAGAAATGTCAAATGTAAAGTCTTCCCTTTGGCTGCTCAACACCAATATAACCAATCACAGCTTTCAATGCTTATATGTCAAAAGCAGTTGTCACTGAAAATATTGCAACTATCCTTCATACAATCAAAGATGCACTCAACTCTGTCACTCTCCAAGGGAGTCAATCCAATGTTCCATCAGTTACCATGTCCATCCACCCATTTCTAAGTCTAGAACTTCAAGCTGATACCCATTCCTCTGCAACGTACAGACTAACTAATGAAACTTACCAACAATAGCACACCCTACAAATGAGAGTGAAGAAGGGGTAAAGAATGAAAATAAGTTAAAAATGAAAAATAAACATGATACATCAACAAAGGAAATACAATTAAAGATGTCAGCTCTCATTTCCTCCCTGATCCTGAGGACTTCCCCTCCACTATGACTTAGTTTCTTTTCCACCCCTCCCGTGTTCCCGAACCTCCAACCAATACCTTTATTTCTAAGATATCTGGGCATGTGATGAACCTACCTGTCTATGTGTGCCAGCAAACCCATTCCTGTGCACCAGAGTTAATTACTCCCACCAATGCCGTAACCTTGTTCTTCTCTTCCTTCTCTTGACTATCCAATGACACAAGACATGCAACATGGTTAGACAGCAGTCTCAGCTTCAAATCAATGGAACCACTGTTGAGCCTGTTTCCAGAATTCCTTTCTTTGATGACAAACCTCTAAACCAGCAAAGCCCAGAATCTCAAAGAAAGGCCATTAACATTTTTTAAAGTGGGGGTCATTAGGCACAATATTTCTTTGTTCCTAAATCCATCAATTTTTGCTTATGGAACTGTGGTGGCTTTAAAAACATATCCACAAATCCTTTGACACTTCTCCCATAAAAGGAGTCTCCTTATATATAACCAGCCTTATATCTAAGGAAGGAGCACTTCAGGACTTCCACTGTTAGTTTAGAAAAGGCATTAATTACAATTTCCACCAGAATCTCTCTTTTCTGGGATGCTGGCTCCTAGGTTGTAAGGAACCAAACAGCACTGTGCAAAGGCCATGGGTAGGTGTCCTGGTACAGATTCAGCATCAGTCACCAGACAGGTGAAGGAGAGAGAGGGCCATTAGATGATTCCAGCCCCCCCAATTTTTTAGCCGTCCCAACAGAATCAAGTGAAAAGGAAGAGATAAACTGTCCCCATTCAACCCCACACAAATCATGTTGCAGATCTGTAAGCAAAATGTATGTTGTCATTATTTTAAATCACTAGGTTTGGGGGTAGTTAAACAGCAATATAGGAACAGGAATAAAGAGTGCCAAATATTGGACACTAGTTCAAAGCGTATACTGCATCCCATAGGGCAGCATCAAAATGGGTTATTATCTCCCAGAAGGCACCATAACCAAGGCTTCAATAATACCAGGTGCTTCTTGGTGATAGAATATACGATTAGGCCAATAGATTCCATGGACATTAGCCCACGGTATTGCTTCATTCATTGCAGAGTGAGTTTCTTGGTCAGAAGCGGTATGGTGTCAGACACAATAACATGGTAGGAAGCATTCTGTAAGTCCCCAGAGGGTGGTGCTGACAGAAGCACAGCAAACAGAGAGAGTAAATCTAAATCTACAGTAAGTGTGCTTCAGAGAGGACAAATAACGATTCCTTCAATGATCTGGAAGGACCAGTGGGATCAACTTGCCTCCAAGTGATTGGCTGATCCTCCTGGAGACTCTGGATTGGTCACTACTGCTTGTAGCCAGAACACTCAGCAATGGCTTGGTGATCCCAAGCACAACTCCAATCCTGTTACTATAGCCATTTTATTCACAACTGCACTGAGCAAGTGCTGAGCCTGGGAAGGGAGGCTGAATTTCATCCACAGAGACATTCATGTTGTCCATATCATTCTTAAAGATTTATTCTGCAAGGTCCAGAATATCCTTTCCCAAGTCTTCCTTATCACTACTTCTCCAATCTTGCTCTTTCCATGTCCTTGACCAACTGGCCAATCAGCCTTCAATCAGGAATTACTACCCAAGGTCACCTCCCCTTTCAGGCAAAGTGAACTTCAAGACATACTGCTGGACATTCTGCACATTAAAAGAACTTCACACCTTCAGTGTTCTTCAGGTCCAAAGTGGGACCACAACCGTCTAACAATCCATTTCTGGCAAGTACGAGCATATTGTGCAGGCTCATATGCCTGCATGGTGCCTAGCACATCTGGGGTGCTCAAATAGGTGTTGTCTGAATAATTTTTTTAAATGCAGGTCGTGTCCCTCCCCTGCTTACTTTCAATAGCTTCCCAAAAGACCCTGCTGGGTGTGGCCACTGTATACTCCTTCCCCTTGTTCTCTGTACTCTAAGCCTTGGTCCCTAATTCCTGGACTGTTTCAAGCTCCCTCCTGCCACAAGAACTTTGCTCAGACCATCCCCTCTCCTTGCCTAGCTAGTCCATCCTCGGAGCTTGACTCAAGGATCACTTCCTGTCTTTTAACCATCTTTCTTCACCGTACTTATCTCCATATTCATTTATATGTTTAGTTAATTTCGGTCTGACCCTAGGACTCTATGACTCTGTGCACTTAATAGTGATCCCCCGCCCCTAATATAGTGCTTGGTACTTAAGAGGTGCTAAAAAAATTGTTGAATAGATGAATGAAAGTGTCTGTAATAAAATGTAGTATAGGTCATTTATCTACAAATTATCACTGCCAGTTTTGCTTAAGAAGCTTTCTGCCATTAGTTTCCACTCCTCTAATTCACATTTTATTAATTAAAAAAAAAGAACCACTCGTCTAGACTTTCCTAAGCATTATTTCTATGCTAGCACTAGGCAAAAAAAAAAAAAAAAAAAAGTGGCTACATATGAAACTGTAAATATATTAAGAGCCACATTGTAAAAAGTAAAAAAAATAATCTTATTTAACCCAATATGTCCAAAATATTGTCATTTCAACATGTAGTCAATATGAATATTATTGAAGTATTTTACATTCTTTTCTTCATACTGAGTTTTTGGAATTTGGAGGGCATTTTACAGTCTCAGCAAATCTCAGATTGAGCTGTTTCAGGTGCTCACTAGACACGCGTGCCTAGTGGAGGCTGCATGGGACAGCGCAGTTCTATGGGATTCACTTTCACAAGCCTGGCAGCCCTCAGCCCTACAGTGTCAGAACTCCGAGTCAAGCCACCAGAAGGGTCTGTCACAGTGGAACAGGTGACTTAAACCTTATTCTAGTGTGAGCCACCTTCTTCAGCATTTGCAACTTCAAACGTTATGTCCACAATCAAAAAAAGAAATAGGCATATTTCTGTTGCAATGGTGTAAAAACATGTATGTATCTTTTTCAATAAATGAAACCCACGTTTATATTTCAACTTTAAAAACTGTCTCTGGGAACAATTTTTACTAGTGTGTATTTTTCACCTTCCTAACATCCTTTTGTTTCTTCTTTAAACGGACAATTTGCTCCTCAAGACGGGAGCCGCACCTCCTTTGCAATATTCCCCTTTGAGGCCAGTCCATAATTCTCCGCATTTTGGGGTGTGGCACGGCAAATCTGTCGGTTCTCTTGACGGTCCAGAAAATTTCGGGGAAGGGTGTCTGCCCACGCCCACCCTTATTCACCCTTTCAGCGTTTTCCTTATGCCCGCTGGGGCCTCTGGAATTGGCTGTCCGACAAGCAGTAGAAGCCGGAATTCACAGGCACACAGAGCCGGATGCGGACTTCTCCGGCGGCTCGAACCAGCTCTCTCTCCACCAGCGTTCTGTGCCCGCGACAACTTTTCGGTACTTTTACCTCACCTCCGGGCCGTCTGCCAAGGCGACCCACCGCTCTCCGGGCGCTATCAACAGCCTAATCTACGCCACACCGCCTGCCCGGGGCCAAAGGGTTAGAGGCGCGACTTCCGCCTGGAGGGAGACACTTCCGGAAGTGACGCAGGAGTGTCAACATGCAAGATGGCGGCCCATCACCGGCAGAACACGGCGGGGCGGAGGAAAGTGCAGGTATGGGAGCCTAACTCCTCTACTTCTCCGATGTGGCTGCCAGCCCTGGCCCACCTTCAGCGAGCAGATGCCTCGGGCCGCGATCGACCAGGGTAGCGGCTCGGGGCGAGTGGGACAGGGTGCGGCCGGCGGCGAGGGGTGGGGCCGCGGCATTAACGGCTTGAGGAAGGGGCTGGAGGCGGCCGACCTGGCTCCAGTGCCGGAACTTTGGATGCTGGGTTCGGATCCTGGGGCTGTCGGTTGTCCGCTTTCTCCTGGCCTTGGGCTTGCGAGGTCAGGATAGGCTCCTTCACCGCCCACCTGCCTTCCTCTTCTCTTGTTTTTCTCCAAAGCTCCTCTGCACTAGCGGCTTCGGAGCGGAGGCCTCCGGGGGCTTCCCCTGCAGGCTAGCGGGGACTGAGTGAGCGGGCCTGTGCGGGGGCGTGGCGGGGCGGCAGGACGCAAGCGGTGCTGCGGGTGTTCAGCGGTTTATGCGGGAGTTCTCTCCCTGGTGAGGTGGAGATGACGGCGGAGGGTGCTGTGTTAGTGGGGAAAATACAGTTTTTACTGTTTTGGAATTTAATTTCGTTTTCATCTTTTCTTTATCTTCAGTGTTCATCCTTGAATCTTCTTTTCTGTTTCTATAATTTATTATATAAGGATAAAGCGTTATCTAACCCTTCCGTGTGTGCTTTGTGCCTTCGTGAATCCACTCTTGTTTTATGGGTACATTTGAGAGTTATTGATAACCTATTTTCAGGGATGCGAGGAGTGAAAGCCTTGGTTCAGGTATTTGCTGCAGGTATAGTGTATGCAGTAGTGACAGGAAGCTGTCCCTTTTTTCATTAAATCTTACTGAGCACTTAGTTTAGGCCCCAAAATGTGCAAACAATGGAGACAGTATAGGAATAAATAACACGGCATTATATGTGGTTCTACAGGTTGAAATCAGTGAGTGTTCCTTCAATAACGTGACCCCAGAAAATTGCTGTAAGCCATAAAGTCTTCTGCGCGGTTCACTTTGTCTTACTGATTTCATAGGTAGGTACCATATTCTACACACTCAATAGATGTATTCAGAGAAACCTATAAAAACCTAAACTAGCTTACCTATTAGGCAATTTTTAAGTGCATCAGTGACAGAATTTAAGTAACCTCAGCATGCAGTCCACATGGGGAGAATGTCTGCTTTTGACAAAATGTAACTCAAAATTGTAACTTGATGGTATGCTAGACATTAGACAATGGTGCACTCTTCAGGGTGGTAAGGAGAGTTCATCAGGTCTCTCAAGTTTCTTGCATTTACACTTAAGTGCCAATTTGGAAGTATAGGATAGGGAAATGCAAATTTGCAGTGTGTGGGAAAACTCGATGTTTTAATAAGCTGAGTGTGAGCCACTGCATGCTGAATGACAGTGGTGATGATTCCACTCTTCTCTGATTGGAGTGCAGAGCTAGAGTTTGAGGTTCAGCACTTCTCACCTTCTTCTTAGTAGGTATAGCAGTCAGATTGATAAAGCAACTAACCATTTCCCATGGAGAGCATTCAGAAGAACTTAGTCTGCTGAGGAGGAGATTGAGTGAGTCTTGTTACCTGCTTTTGACATTTTTCCACAGGGCCTACAACCAATGTGAAAAGCCATAGAAATTTATTTTATCTCGACATGAGGGAGAACTTTTGTTTGTGGAAATGATTTTTTCCTCTTTTTTAAAAATATATTTTATTAATTATGCCATTACAGTTGTTCTATTCCCCCCTTCATTCCCCTCCACCCTGCACACCCCCTCCCCCACCATTCCCCTTTAGTTTATGACCACATATCTCAAGTTCTTTAGATTCTATATTTCCCATACTAATCTTGCTCTCCCCGCTATCTATTTTCTACCTACCTTCTATGCTACTTATTTTCTGTACCTTCTCCCCCATTCTCCTCCCACTCCCCTGTTGCTAACCCTCCATGTCATCTTCATTTCTATGGTTCTACTCCTGGTCTAGCTGTCCTCTTAATTTGCTTTTGTTTTAGGTGTGGTTCTTAATAACTATGAGTTTGCTGTCCTTTCACTGTGCATCTTTTTTATCTTCTTTTTCTTAGGTAAGTCCCTTTAACATTTCATATATAAAGGCTTGGTGATGATGAACTCCTTGAATATGATCTTATCTGAGAAGCACTTTATCTGCCCTTCCATTCTAAATGAAAGCTTTGCTGGAAAGAGTAATCTTGGTTGTAGGTCTTTGGATTTCATGACTTGGAATACTTCTTTCCAGCCCCTTCTTGCCTGTAAGGTCTCTTTTGAGAAATCAGCTGACAGTCTGATGGGAACTCCTTTGTAGGTGACTGTCCCCTTATCTCCTGCTGCTTCTAGGATTCTCTCCTTCATTTTAATCTTGGCTAATGTAATGATGATGTGCCTTGGTGTGTTCCTCCTTGGGTCCAACTTCTTTGGGACTCTCTGAGCTTCCTAGATTTCCTGGAAGTCTATTTCCTTTGTCAGATTAGGGAAATTCTCCTTTATTATTTGTTCAAATAAGTTTTCACTCGTGGGTGTTCCTCTTCCCCTTCTGGTACCCCTATAATTTGGATGTTAGAACATTTAAAGATGTCCTGAAGGTTCCTAAGCCTCTCCTCATTTTTTTGAATTCTTGTTTCTTCATTCTTTTCTGTTTGGTTGTTTCTTTCTTCTTTCTGGTCCACTCGATTGATTTGAGTCCCAGTTTGCTTCCCATCACTATTGGTTCCCTGTGGATTTTGCTTCATTTCAATTAGTTTAGCCTTCACATGTTCCTCTAATTTGTGACTAAAATCAACCAGTTCTGTGAGTATCCTGATCACCAGTGTTTTGAACTGTGCATCTGAAAGCTTGGCTATTTCTTCATTGCTTAGATTTATGGGATCTGGGGCTCTGAGTTGTTCCTGAGCCATGTTTTAATCTGTTTGTGCCTGTTACATATGAGGAGCAGAGCCTTAGGTGTTCACCAGGGCGGGGCCACCCAGGTCACTGGTTTGTGATGCTGTATATGGGGGTGGGTCAGAGAGGGGCCACCCAGGTGGCTGGTTTGTGATGCTGTATGTGGGGGCGTGGTTAGAGAGGGACAGTGGCGGTCCATTCTGCTGCTTCCTGCCACTGGTGCCTGCATGGTCTGTCTCACCGCCCGCTCCTTCACCAGTTTATCTGTGCGCAAATGTGTGACCATGGTCAGCCCTCAGTGAGCCCACCGCCTTGCGCCCTCAGTGGGTCTGCCCACTGCTCCACACCCGGGATCCGCTTATGGCTGCCAGCGTGCCTGGGTCGCACACCCCTATCGGTCTGGTGGATCTTTCCTACCCAACCCCGCTCTGCTACTGACTCTGCCCCTCTTACCAGTTTGGCTAAAGGGTTCGTTGTTGTCAGACTTCCGTATAGTTCTATTTTCTGTGGTTTGGCTGGGTTTTTGTTGCTAAAACTTTGTTGTTTTTAAACTTGGTTGTGCAAGAAGGTACAGTGCTTCCACCTATGCCTCCATCTTGGCGGAAGTCCTCTTTTATGGAAATGTTTTTTAAACAAGTATGCATTCACTGCAAAAAAAAACAAACCCACAAACAATACATAAGTATAAATGATACTTATCTACCACTCTTCAAAGAAAACTGGGGACAGTGTGATACATAATCCTAGACCAGGGTTTTTCACCTTGTTATTGACATCTTGGATAATTCTTTATTGGGGTGGCGGGGGAAGGTGTTGTCCTATGCAATGCAAATCATATATGATCCTGGCTTCTGCCCTCTAGATATTAGCACCTTCCCAGTTGTGACAACCAAAAATGACTGTAGACATTTTCCAATGTCCCCTGGAAAGTAAAATAGCCACCGGTTGAAAACCAGTGTTCCATAACTCTTCTTACACGTATTGGACTTAACATGACATTTTACTCTAAATGGAGTCATAACATTTCACTGTTTTGTGTCTTGTTGGTTGTCAAAATTTTAAATATCTATTACTTTTGACCTAGAAATTCTCCCTTTAAATATTGTTTTCCAGAAGTGTATATACATATAGCTTTCTGCAGTTATGCAAGGGTGTTTGTTATAGGAACTGTGAAAAAAAATCTCTCCATCCATAGTCAGTTAGAAGATAAGTTAGGTACATTCATGAAGTAGATTAATTTCTAGTTATTAAAAATATAAGGTAGATCTGTATAATTAAAAAGAAAGGTGTCCAGAATTCAAAAAAGCATGGCCTCATTTCCACAGAGGAAATAATGTATTTTAAAAATCTGTATGGATATTAACAGTGATTATCTCAGGCGTATCAGATTGTGTGTTTATAGGTAAGGCAGGAAATGGGATTTTTTTCCTTGAACATATATGAAACTTCATACTTTTAAACTTTATACAATATTCTTTGCTGTTAAAAATATATACCTTTCTATTTTGAAAAAGTGTATATGGCTACATAAATATATCTTACCTCCTTGGTTGTCTTTGTCTTGTACCAAGAGGCAGTATCCCTGGGCTCCATTTACCAAATTATAGGCCAAAAGAACCCTTGAAAGTTAGATCGACAAATAACCAGTGGAGAGGGATACATACATACTGCTTATTAATTACAGATCATGAAGGAACACGTGTCTGCAATCTTCAACTTCTAAGGAGACTGGCCACGAGCAAGAGGGGTAGGGGTACATTTGTGATTGTCAGAAACGTGATCAGATGATGAAATATGTGAATTCAGACATGCGATGCACTTGTTTCCCTAGTAATCAAGATGCCAAAGCAAGTCTTCTCACTCTCTGGTGGTCCCTTAGTGTTACGGTTTTCCAGCAACCTGAGTCAGTTGGTTGACTCTGTCTCCATCTTTCCTTCAACTGTGGCCTCTTTCATTCGCTCCAGAATTCTCGGTGGCAGGGAAGGTTGGACAAAAGTTGATTGCTGGTTTAGGAGCAACAACCATGCCCTCACACTCAGTGATGGTTCAAGAGTATAAAATAATTGGTCTTTCATACCAAGTCCTTTGATTGTAAATGACTCAGAATCCAAGTT